TAAACTATACAAGAGGCTCCACATTGTTCACAACATTCATCAGGATTAAGATTAGGGATTTTACCTTTATCAATTGGAGGCTTATCCTTGTCATGAATAGGTTTTGGTTCTTCTGGTTTTCCTGAACAAACTTTTAAGTGACCAATTAAAGTTGGCAAATCTTTTTCTGGGTCTATACTTAAATTTAACTCGTAAGAAAGCATGAGGTCCAATAGGAAGGGAGATTACTCGTTTTAATAAGCATTATGCTACTAATTACACTCTACTTCTACTGATTAGGAATACAGATAAAGGAGGGATAATTCATTGGGATTTGTTTATGGGATTTGTTTAAGGGAGCAGTTAATGCCGAGATTTTTACCAACTTTGTTAACGATGTTAAACTTCCTACTGATGAGAAATACTATCTTTTACTGGATAAACTTAAAGTCCATGAGGCTAAAAAGGTTGAAAAAGCATTAAAAGATAAAAATATAGAGCCAAGATTTATAGTTACGGCTAATCCTTGGTTGAATCCTATTGAGGAAGTTTTCCATGTGATTAAGAAGTATGTTGAAAGTCAAGAACCAAGGACATACGAAGATTTGAAAAAAATTATTAGTGAAAAAATAAATGAACTCCAAGAAAAAGGTTTAACCAAGTATTTTAAAGATTGTTTAGATTTTGATTTTATCTTAAAAAGCGGACACTAATTATGAAAAAAGTAGTAACCAACTTAACTAAGGGTTGATTTGTGCCTTAGAAGTCGGTCGTTTTTTGATAGGAAGAAGTTCTTTTTTTCCTTTTTTGCCAAATATTTTTTTCAAACTTCTTCATATTCTTCAACCGGAATAATTGTCAGTTCACGGCGGACTTCTTCGGGAATATCTTCAATATCTTTTTCATTAGATTTAGGAATTATAATCGTTTTCAATTCGCCACGACAAGCCGCAATAGCCTTTTCCTTTAAGCCGCCAATTTCCAGCACTTTTCCTTTGGAGGTAATTTCTCCGGTCATACCAATGTCAACTGGAACCTTTTGATTAGTCAAAGCCGAAAGAATGGCAGTGGTTAAAGCAATACCAGCACTCGGTCCTTCTTTCTCTACTGCTCCTTCTGGAGCATGAACATTAACATCTCGTTTTTCTAACAAGGCTAGTTCTTTTTTAAAACTTTCTTTATTCTCTTCTAAATAAGATTGAACATAACTGAAAGCTACTTCGGCGGATTCTTTCATTACTTTCCCTAAACTTCCGGTTAATCTTCCCAATTCACCCTTTCCAGCAACCAAATTTACCTCAATAGGTAAAGTATCACCGCCATATCCAGTTCAAGCCAAGCCGGTGACCACTCCCGCTTTTGGAGTTTTTTGCTTAGGAGTAAATTCGTGAATTCTTTTCTTTAAATATTCCTTTAAATTATTAGGAGTAACAACAAGTTTATTTTCTAGGTTTTGGTTTTGCAAGAGTCGAACGATAAACTTGCGAACGATTACTTGAATTTTCCGGTTAAGTTCTCGCACCCCGGCTTCGCGAGTATAGTGTTTTATTATGTCTCGAATTGCCTGGTCTTCAAAAACTATTTCCCCAGCGTTTAAATTATGTTTTTTTAAACTTTCCGGGATTAAGTACTCTTTGGCAATGTGAAACTTTTCAATTTCCGTGTAGGAAGAAAGTCGGACTACTTCCATCCTATCA